CACCTTTTTCAAAATCAGACCGAATCAGTGTCAAACATTTGTGCTACGTTTGTGCAGCAAAAATGTCCATTTGTGCCGCTATCATTTTAAAGATATAAAGAAATGTTCCTAGAGGTCAGCAAAGGTCAACCAGCCCCCCCCCCCACCTTCTTCAAATCAGACGAAATGGGTGTCAATCAACTCGACTCCGTTTGTGCTGGTTTGTGCAGCAAAGATTGTTGTTTGTGCCGCTATCATTTTTTTTAGGTTAAAATTGAATTATTCATATTCATTGCTTAGCAACTTATAATTTATGTGAAATTCACAGTTTCAGCATGAACAGATGTTCACTGACCTTTGATGACCTCTACAAACTATTATTAATATCATTAAAATGATAGCAGTACAAAATTTTTTTTAAATATGCATTTTAAAATATATATATATATATTATATATATATATAAATATATATATATAAAATATATATATACATATTTATTTTAAATATATATATTTTAAATATACTATTTATTTCAAATATTTTGTATTTAAAATATATATTTTAAAATTGAATATTTTTGTATAGAAAAAAATTCATTTGTGCTGCTTATTTACTGTCACATGTAAGGGCTTCAGCCGGAGAGTAAGTGTTGGGGCCGGTATGTGATTTGAGGAGGGCCGGCCCTCGCAAGGTGAAATTAGGACCGGCTCTGCTTCAAGAGATTTTATATATTGGTAACTGCTCATCAGGATCCCCTCTCTTCTGATGAATGTTTTCAATTCAAGTAAAATTATCTCCATACTGTTTGATATTCTAACATATTTAGTATCAGATGATTTAGCTGATAGAGACATTTTCTAATCTGTTTATAGTATGTTTCATTGGGAGATGCATATACATCTTTTAATCAACATTTGGATGGGTTTTTTCACATACCCACATTGACACAGTGGACATGTGAAGATGATGCATGCTCCAGAAGACAGATTGTGACTTTCTGTTTGCTCTCCTCTGCGCAGATGGTCTCCACAGCAGCATTTGGTCAGTTGTTGCAATGGACTGCACTGTGTACAGTCACCACCATATCTGCCATTGGTCAAACAAATTCACAGCTTGATACAAACTGCATGAATTTCATTTATAACTGAAATTTTTTATTCTACAGAAAATAAACACAGCAGGACCTGTGATCCGAGTGATTAATTTTTCTTTGCTGTTCTACAACATAGAGAGAGATTTTATTTTTTTTAAGTACTAAAAACTGTTCATTTCCTTTCTAATTTTGCCACTCCCTTATACTTGTTTTGCTAATGTCAGGTGTTACTACTACTACTAATACTACCTCAACAACTAATATTATTAACAATAACAATAATAATGTATATCTATATCCTCAGAGAGTCCAAATAAAGGAGAATACCTTATCAGATCAATAATAAACCGATAAGGCATGATTCATTTTTAGTGGACATAGAAAGAAGACAAGTGACACTTATGTTTGGTTCATCATGTACATCTATGATACAGTGAGGAATTTGGCCACTATGCTACTTTGTTTGAATTGGAGCTTGTTGTATGCACCAATAATAGCAAAAAATACATTTACAGTATGCAACATTTTGAGCAAGAGCTAATAGTAAAACTAAAAAGAACCACAGCTCTGAAATTGAATATGATCTCTTATTGAGTTCCCTTTTTTATTGTTTCACAATAAAGTATTGGTGGTGCAGTGCCTTCAGCCTCATGTAAACAAATGTCAAATGTCATGTCTCATCATTAATACCAAACAAATAAGTTCGGTTTAGGCTCACAGATCTCACTGAGTCTCTTCCAGAGCACACTTGTTTTGGACAATTTTGCTCTGGTCCCTTTGGACTAACTTTGGTTTCAGACTTTGAAATCAGCTCATCTAGATCTATAATTAATGATGTTGTCATAAACGTTATTTATTCCTTTAGAGCTAAATGTTTAATTTTTGGTTTTAGCTGTGTACCTTTAAGCCTTTATTATTTTTATTCCATTACTGTAACAGTTATTTTTTTAGTACCTGCCCTGACCTGCTCACAACCAGCAGATGCTCACCTGAAAAGTTGGACAGTGAAGCCAAAATGATCAAAGTAAAGAGAAAGTCAGAGGTAAATAATTTACTCTGAAGAAAAACAAATGGATAAAAAAAAAGTAAAACTGAGAGGCACCATAGATAGGCCTACAGATTACATGTTTGAAGTTACAATATTACAGCACATTGTTAGTCATAAACCTGGAGTGTCACTCAGTCCCCCTCTCCAGGGGTTTCTTATTACCGACAAGAGAAAATGTCGCCTCCAATTCATCTATATGACTGACATGTTTCAGACGGACACAGCCACAGGGAGCCTCTTAAATGGGGGTCTGACTAAAGCCATCTCACTCATGTCGACAGGCCTCCAGACGAACAGCTCAAGCGGTAACAAGCGTTTTATCTCATATACAGTTAGATGTTCTAAGACTGATTTCGTTATACAGTTTTGATGTAAATCAGGGACTGAGAGGGTAGGAAAAAAATCTAGAAGGTTAAGTAACAAAATATGCTATCTTCAGCAAAATTGTCAAATTCAAAAAACAGGATAAACTTGAAGAATTTAAAATAAAATGTCTTAATTGAAGAGCTTCAACTGGCAAATATCAATCCATCCATCTTACCCCACCTATTCCGTCAGGGTCAGAGTGCGACCCAGATGATGAAATGGCAAAAATGTTCCCCTTAAATTATAAAATACTTTTAAATATCTGACCACTCTCTCTTAAACCTTAAAAAAACTTTAAAAATACCAACTTCAGCAAAAGCAGAGTGTGTTTGAAGTGGGAAATAGAACAGCAAACCAGCTCATAATAGCAGCTGAGTCTGTCCATAAAACATAACTCCTTTGTTAAGAAAATCAGTTTTATTCAACTTGATCCAAACAACAGCTGAAATGCAGCAGAGCTTTATATTCCATCATTCCATCATCAGCAGGAAAAGGAAGATAAAAACAATATGTGATCTGCTACCCCCTACAGACAGAGAGGAGAATCCGCTTTTCAAATCAAGGGTGCTGAAACAATTCATAAATCACACAGATCTGCTTTTGCCATCTACTTTCAGTAGTGTAGTCGTCCCCGGAGGAGTGGGTATACTTTAAAAATAGGGCCCTAAAAAATAAGCAATAGAGTACACTTAAATCAGGATACTTGGATGGATGGATGGATGGATGGATGGATGGATGGATGGATGGATGGATGGATGGATGGATGGATGGATGGATGGATGGATGGATGG